CATATATCTCACAAGTACAAAGTATCAATTGCCAATAATGTCTTGATACATGCAAATGACTATTATTTGTTGAATTAGAGATTGTTAGCAAGTAGAGTACATATAATGATAATGGTCCGCAGAATAAGAATGTCAAGATTTCAATAGAAAGCACCGTTGAATCTGAATAAAGCCATCTTTTATCTGATTTACCATATTCTTGCCCTTAAATTGAATGAATAGAAAGGGGAATGTAAAATGAATCATTGAATTACAATTATTATAATAAAACAATTGATTTGCAGTGAACCAATGTTTGTAAGTAAATAATAAATATGATAATTGTTGTATATATGGCCTACATATTTCAGCAATTATTCCTTGACCTGATTCTACTGTGTTAAAATATGACATGTAAACCCAGGACCCTTCTAATATTAAATGAATCAGAGAATCAAAAGTTAACCAGATGAAGATAAATCTTTCATATTTTTCATATTTTTTGTTTGATGAATTATTATTAATTTTGGAAAGTGGTGGTAAAAATATTATTGAAGTAACATAAGAAAAAATTAGTAGAATCAAGATAAAACAAAAAGAAACAATTGTTTGTTTGTTAAGAAAATCCGAATAAAACAGTAAACTAGATGTTGTCGTCATTGAAAGAACATAGCATTCTCGCGAAGAAGCTACTGACTAAATAGTGGGTTTTAAAAAAAAAATTTTTGGCCATCAATGAATTTTATATAAATGGGGCATACTGCAACAAAACCAACATTAGTTTGTATTACCAAGAATTTCAGGGATCAAAATTTGATCATTATTATAAAAATAATTAATATGAAATTAATTTATATCAATTCGTTTTCACTAATCTTCCCTCACAGCACCAGACCAGAGAAGGCTATCATGTTTATTTTATTAAAGACATATAATTAATTGGGGTCTGATTTCTTTTCATCGATAATCACTTTGTTGACATTTCGTTGACAGTTCATATATTTTAAGTTTTGCGTGACAAAATTGCATTGTTTTTAAAAGAAATAATTTTTTTCATTTTAAACCAATAAGCAACGTTTAATATATTCCTGTGTAAGTTATGAGAGGATCTAATACGAATAAAAAAAAATACTAAAAAGATTTTTTTTTACAACCAAAATTCGTTTCCATTTGCATTTTATGAATGAAAATAATCAACAATTGACGTTTTTGGTTATTTTATGAATGAAATAATTAACAATTGATGTTTTTTATTATTTTATAGTTCAATATTAAAATTATATAAATCGGTAACTAAATTGGTAAATTTAATAATTTATTATACGTATTAGTATTAGTATATGTTTCTATTGTGAAATGAGTATTTCTCTATTATTCAATGATATAGTTATTTTAATTATAAGCAACACAAACAAAACAGGATGAGTAGATATTCTGCAAATAGTCAGATCATTTGGGATTTTATATATAACTTTAATATTTGTATTTTAGTTAACATTAAAATTGATTAAATAGATTCTGGTTCATAAAAAAAAATGGGAGCATGTCTTCAAATGTGGTGGACTTCAAAACTGCGGAACGATACACACGGCTTTGCCTACATGGAAAAAGGACAGGAAAGTTGATCTCATTTAACGTGATACATACAGATGTTCTTGATCCCGTCATGGAAAAACGTTGTATGATTTGGTCATGAAGTGTCAGTTTTTATGAATGAACTTAATAACAATTGGATGGGCCTTTTATTATTAGTTGTTATTACATATATATACAACTAAAGATAAATTAAGAATCTATTTTGATGCTGAAATTTGTTATATCACTAATATGTTAATATAATTAGATATTTAGAAGTAATGTTTTAACATTTAAAAAAAACAGTGTGGATTTATAATTATAATGATGCACTTTTAAAAATTGGCATTAAAATTAATCCAAATTCATTAAAAAGAAAAAAGAACCCACATGTATTGGATCACATGATTTCTCTATTACTATGGGGACGATGACCGCCACGGACATGAAGATCATCATTATTGCTATAATAATTTATTATTAATATTGTTACATCGAAATGGATTTCCCATGTTTTCCATAATATCATGTTCCCACACTTTCAACATTCCCACATTCTCCAAATATATATCCTGCCTCTTTCATTAATTACATTAACAATTCATTGATTATTACACTCATTTGTAGATTTTTTTAAAAATTAGAATTTAGAATTAGAAATCAATAAAACAAAAAGTTTTTTTATTCGAAAAACAAATCAAAATAAAAAAATTTTTTTTTTCCCTTTAATTAATACCTTAATACCGAATCAAACTATTAATAATTTTCGACCTATAATTTTTACATTTATAATAAATATAAATATAGTTTGATCCTATTATTACTTAATCAATAACATAACATCATAATCATAAGTAATCATTTGCTATTATCATGATCATTGCTAATATTATTGCCACTAATGGTATTATTATTGTTAATAATAATACCATTATTAATATTGCCATTACTATTAGGAGACGTTCCTGATATTATATTACCACTATTTCTTCTATTACGACGTTTTATGGATATAGATCTTGACCAATTTCTAATTGCTGAAGTTGAGAAACTTGATGAATTGTTTACATTATCTGGCAGATTCATATTACTATTACTATTACTGTCATTTTCATTATTACTATGTTGATTACTATTATTATTGTTGTTATTATAATTTAATAAATAATTTTTTGAGTTGATAAAATCATTTGCTAAATCAAACCGTTTCAAATGCTTGGTAACGTATCCAAGTCCATAATTATTAGATTTGGTCAAATTAGATTCACCACTACATGAATCATTTGATCCTTCAGCAGGACTATTGTTATCCATGGATGTATTCGAATTTATTATTTCATGTTTAATATGTTCATTGACTGTAGCTGGCATAATTTTTGTTTCATTTGTATCATTATTGTTATTACTAGCCAATACATCATGGTCACTT